AGTGTATAGGGGAGAAACATTCTCCCAAATTTACCCATTTGCTTAACCGCCAAAGGGTTAAATTAAAATTATGGTTTGCTAATTGAAACTTTGCTTTAATAGTTAAAGTACAGGGGTCTGTTCAAGCCAAATTTACTACGGTTTAGCGGTACCTTCACAATTTCAACATTAGGAAAAACTGTAGAATAATTTCACAAAATATTTTTACTTCAAATTTTATTTTTGTATCTTGTAAGAAACGATAAATCCATATTTTTACAATATTTTTGTGTTGATTTTTTAATATAATTTTTTATTTTCACAAATTATGCCGAAATTTTCACAAAATAAATCTCTCAGAAAAACCTAAACAGACCCCTGAAGTACTCTTTAAATTCTCTATTTCAGCTAGTCTTTAAATTTCAATCATGCATTTGTTTCAAACCCTGCATTCAAAGCTATGTATTATAACGAAGTTTAGTAAGTTAGAGCTACTAAAATATTGTTTTAATGTTAATTTAATTTTGACTAAACATTTATAAAGTATTTTTAATCATAAATTAAATTTCTTACCTTGTATTTGAATAAAAAAAAAAAATCGGATTTTTTTTATTTTTAAAAAAAAAATCATGAATCCTGATTTTAAGCTTAATTCTTGCTGGAAATCTATATTATTTGAAAGAAGCATAAATCTACAATTTTTAAATGTTAGGCCGAAATGATTTTCCACAAAAATATTTATATTGAACAGGGTTGGCACTTCGTCCNATCGGATTTTTTTTATTTTTTTAAAAAAAATCACGAATCCTGATTTTAAGCTTAATTCTTGCTGGAAATCTATATTATTTGAAAGAAGCATAAATCTGCAATTTTTAAATGTTAGGCCGAAATGATTTTCCACAAAAATATTTATATTGAACAGGGTTGGCACTTCGTCCAGAGGAAATCTATTTTAATTAATTGTTAATTGTTAAATTGTAAGAATAACTCAAATTTGAACAAATTTAATCTAGTAACAGTAAGTTTAAAGTTTTTCTTTTACTTTTTTTAAAATATTTATTTCTAATTGGTTTCTTGAAGAATTTAAAATTCTTCAAAAAACCAATTATAAATGCAGTAAATTATATTCATTATTGTAATTTTTAAATGAAATTTTTCATATATTTAAAAAAAATCTATCAAAGACAAAAATTAAATTTATTCAAATTCTTTTTTTTCTTTCTTATTTAATGCTGCAATACACCAATAAGAATATTGTTAAATTTAAAGCTTCATCATGTTAAAATAAATGACAAAAAGTAGTTTATTCTTTATTTTCCAAGCCGTTAGTACTAAAACATACCTTTACATTTTTGTATGTTTATATTTATGCAGTCCATTTGTCTTTTTCATATTTTTTTTTATCATTCTATGACTTTTAATTATTTTTTAATTGAAAAAATATTTTGATTTGAATACCTCACACTCATTTAAATCAAAATTTATATTGATTCAATAAATAAAAAAACAAGAAATGTTTATTTTAGAACAATTAATTGTTATTACTGCTACTAAGTGTAATCTGCTAAATAATGACAATGTTGAATTACGAAATTTTTATATACACTAACAATTAGAAGGTAAGCTAACTTTTACGTGTATGCACTTCTAAAAAATTTTTTTAGATATAAAGTTGCTTGTTAAGTGGAGTTGTAAAATAAAAAGTATGCTTATTCAAAATCTTAAGTTTTAGTTTTTACTTTATTCATGGTCACTTATTTTTGAAAAGTGAATTTTATTTGGTATTTTTTATAAAAATAATCAATAGTTAAGAAAATCTCTGGGAAAACTTTTTAATGGTTAAATTATTATTAATTTGAGACTTAGTATGTTATTCAACCTTTAAATAGAAAAAAAAAACTTTTTTCTAACCCTGGTTTTAACTAAGTTAAAGAATATGAACATTTCAAATATTAAATTGCACTTAGAGTAGTAACAAACGTGCCTATTGTTATGTTATGGTCAATTTAAATAAAATGATGAATAGATTTAATGATTACTATTTAGGAAATTTAAAAAAAAAAATTAGTTTTCTCAAAGTACAATGCAATACTACATTAAACCTCACTTTCAAAAATATTTGTAACTGTGCAAACCACACAAAATAACTAACTATTGAAAAGAATCTAACATTAATTATAAAAATAAATGGTTGAAGGTTTTACAGAATGGAAGACAAAGATTTTGGAAAAAGTTAAATATTATTTAAATAATTCCAAATTGAGTTTTTATCCTAGTGTTACCGTTATTGATAATGATTTGTTTGAGAAAATTAAAATACTTAAGAATAAGTTTATTATTACAGTTGTTAATAATATTTTTTTACATTTTTTTGAAGCTAAGTATCTTGAGTTTAATGATTTTAAAGCTTTTAGATATATTGATGATTTAATTTTATTTAATTGTGATAATTATGATTTTATTTTTAATATTTACCCTAAAGATTTGGTTTTGAAGAGGACTAATGATAATTGCTTAAATGTTGAATATTTAGATTTTAAAATTGATATTGCTAATAACCAAATTAAAATTGGTGTTTATGATAAAAGGAAAGCTTTTTAGTTTAAAATTATTTTTTTCCGTAATTTTGATACCGATTTCTGCAGTAAAATTTTCAAAAATTTAGTCTTTTATCACTTGTCTGGAATTAATAAAATTTGCAATAATGTTGAATGCTTTCAAGAAATCTGAAAAATCAGAAAAAAAATCTGAAAATCTTTTAAAAAATCTGAAAAGTAATGGTTTTCCTTTTAATTTCTGTAATTTTGAATTTAAAATTAAAGAAATGATTAAAAATTGTTAGTTCTGTTTTTCTTTTAATAGGGCATGATCGAGTCTTAGCTGAGTTGCCCCAGTTAAGCATTTCTACTAATGATGGCACAGCTTTCTTGCTCTTTTCTTTTTTCTTCCTTCTGTGCATTAAATTAGGGGACACTTTTTCGTTAATTTCATTTTAGTTGAAGATCTGTAATGTGTTGTGTTTTTTTGGTTAGGATTTATTATTTTTAAGTAAGTTTTTGAACATTGTTTTCCTTTGTGTTAGTTTAAGAATTATACTTTTGTATTTGGTTTTTGTAATTTGTATTTTATCTTCTCTCTACCTGGACTTCTGGCAAAACCTTTGGGGTACAGAGAGAGCAACTTAGATATTTGTCATGCTCTGGATAGAAAGGATTTTGCTTTTATGACTTCTAGGGTTGGTACCCCCTGATGACATCAGCTTAGGTTGTCATATTTTTCATTGTTTTCTTCTTTATATATTTTATTGGTTTCAATTTTCTGATGGAATTTCTGCTGCATAGCACGTTTTTCCACTCGAAATATAGTTTCTAATTGCTTTTTTAATAATTTTGATTTCTCTTCTTATAATTATCAAAATAAATCTAATTCTTGGGGGTAACATTTCAAAATTAAAGAAAAAAACACAAAGTTAAAGTTATTAAATATATTTGTATAAACATAAAACAATTAATTAAAGTAGACATAAAAATATTACTAAATAGATATGAAATTAAATACTCATAATACTATGAGATTTCACTTGACTACTATGCTGTCATTAATTTCGCCATACATACAAAGGTGCACATACATGGACCTACCTGCATGTTCTCGATTGTATTATTTTTAAATATTGAGTAAAAATAAATTTAAAGCTTCATTTAGATCACACAACTACTAAGTCAAAATTAAAAAAATATTATTTTCAGAATAACTAAGCTATAAAATATTTAAAATTACTTATGTTTTCATGCACATGGATTTGGCGTCATTTTTCGAAAATTAATTCTGTTTGTGTAGAACTCTAACCAAATAACTTACATGTTCTACATCAATTGGAATCCCCAAATACCTTAAACATCTAAAAATATTTCAATAAAGGTAAAACTATAAATTTTATTTTAATGTGTTAGCGAAGAAGCGAAGGTCCGCATATGTACACCGAGGTAATGAAGAGGTTAATTTTAACGAAATTTGCGATAAAAATCTTTCTTCATATACAAAATCTCAATTAAAAAACTCTCTGCAAGCAATTCATTAACTCTTGTAACTAGTTTCAACCCTTTCGCTTTACCAAATTTTGAGGATATTTGTTCTAAAAATTGTCAATTTTTTTAAAAAGTGATTTTAATTCTTATAAAACTCTATATATAGAGTTTTATAAGAATTAAAATGTATAGAATGTTATGCATAGATAGAATTTTATACATATCAGTACATTTTTCTTTAAATTTAGCAGTTTTTGGAAGATACAAAACTAGTTTTTGACTTACCAAATTTTCTGTCTTTGTATCCAAATTTTCTAAAATTGACTGTGTGGTAGAATATAGAATTTTTTATCATTTATTTATATAGATATATATTGTGTATTTTTTGTTACACATTGTATACATATACAATGTGTAAGCAAAATACATATACATTGCATATTTTTTGTCTACTCTATAATTTAGTATATTGTAATAATCAGAACTTACCTTTTATAATACTGAGTAATTTTAAAAAAGTTTCTGCATTGGATATCTGTTGAAGCAGTAGAAAATGTTCAAAGGACTTTTGTCTTATATAAACCATTTCAGACTTAATTATGTGAAATTGTTAGTGCAAATGAGGTAATTGATTTGAAAAACTGAATTTTTTTACCAAACATTATGTAAGGTGCTAAAATGAGATTATTGATAGTGAGGTATTAAATGTGGATGCAAAAAAATAAAATCAGAATCTACTTGTAAATTTATTAACCTAAATAAGCCATTTATTATTTGAAACAAATACCGTCTAATATTATGATATTTTGTTTTAAATCTTTATATTTTGGTAAACTTAAAAATTTTATTTAAATCTGATTTAGAATATTTTTAACCATTTACTGCATTATACTTGTAAATAAAGCTGTATTTTGTAATTAAAGATTCACGAGTAAATAAAAATTATTATTAGTGAGTGTTGTTTCTCAGTATTAAGAAGCATTTATATTATAGGACTATGAGTATAGCTAAAATGTAGCATTGAAGATGATTTGTAGAGAAGATGCTGAAATACATGTCTTCTTCAAATTTATTAGCTTATAAAGTGCAGTTTTAAGGAAAAGCAGTAAGTCTAACTATTTCTGGGATACAATAATATATCAGTTTCTGAAGAAATAGCAGCTTCATGATATTTTCTCTTCCAAGGTAATAAATAAAAATGTTCTGACAGTTACTCAACATATTTTTCTTGTATATTTAGTATTAATGTTTTAAATTTTATTAACTAAGTAGAAATAACCTAATAAAAGTGTTTTAAAACATTCCGATTAAATTAATTTTCTTTGATTTATATTAAATCATTTGTGCTTTGAATATATTAATTATATATATTATTCTGACCTTAATAAATTTTCAGGCATGTGCATCATATATATAAATGTGTATAAACTCATGAGAAATAACTGCATTTTGTAGTCGTTTTGCCCAGATCCAAAACTTGCTGTTTTTCAGGCAAGACATTAATGTAGAAAGCAAGGAAAATGTGAAATATTTAGCTTAAGAATTCTGAGACAAAAGTGTGTTCTCGTTTCCCCTCTCCACAAAATTTCAGTTATCAAGTTTTACAGTTCACAAACTCAATTGTGAGCTAAGTCGGGAAAAATCATACAGATGGGGTAAAATGAGTACACGGGGTAAAATGTGTATATGTTAAAAAAACATCTATTTCCTCGTTTTTATATTGAGAAAGTTTGTTTAATATTTGCATAGACATTTACTGGGATTGCAGCAAGCATTTTTGTTCCAGTTTTTATGCTTACAAACTATCTGTTTATGAACAACTTATTCAATATGTTAGTTTAACCTGTTCATGAACTTTCTTCTAATAACATTAAAAACTGGTAAAAACTATTAATATTAGTTCAAACTGGAGGGGCATCTAAAGAACAGATCTACATAAAAATGCAAGAATAAATTTCAAAATTCTATTTATTATGAATTGTTTTTTGAGGTGGGGTAAAATAGGTATATGGTTAGGTTTAGCTAAGTATTGTATGATAGATTTTTTTATTTATTTCTGTGTTAGCTTTAATATGTATCTAATGCTCTCTATTTTATAATGAATTAGCTAAAATGTAATTTATTTGTTTGATTACAGCCTTACATAGTAATTTTAACACTAAAAACAAAGTTTCTTTTAAATTTTATTTTTTAAAGAGAAGAATGATGGGAGAAATAGCAATATGACAGACTTATTATACAATTAAGAAAGTTACCAAAATAGCATGATGGTACAACTTAGTGAGCATATCTAAAGGTACAAATGAGTTTTAATGCAAGTTTCTACCTTAATATTGCAATTTTTTCATGGAAAACAAAACAATTTCCTTAAAATAATTAAATTGAATAAAAAATACATGTCTGCTATAAAAACTATTACAGTTTTTTTTGATGAAATTGCTTAGAGTTTAGCAAAATATACTGCATCCAAAGTGTGAAACCTAATTTTAATAGCCACAAACATTAACTCTGTAATTTAATAATACAAAAAAAATTTTTTTTAACATTTAATTTTAAGATATAATTATGATATATTTATTTAAGAGTATTTTTATTTCTAAAATAATAATTATGTATATATTTTCTTGAACTGAAATATACACTAATTTTAGAACTATACCCACTTTACCCCTTTTCTGGGATATAGTAGGGTTTGTTTATTTTTTTCTCCTTGAAATTGTGTATTTTTGCTAAATTATAATTATTGCGTTAATTTTTTCATTGGTTTTTTTTCCACATATTTTCATCAGCTCTTGAGTAGATTAATTTATTCATTAAATACAACCTAAATTATTATAAGTCACTCTCATCTTGCAATGTTTTGTCTTCATTATTTAAAGACATTAATTGTACATTGAATAACTTTTAGGAACATTACAATTTCCCCAAAGATTAAACATTAAAATTTGTCATTGGTTTTTCTAATTTGTCATTGGTTTCCTCACATATTTTCATCGACATTCTCAAATTTGTGAAATCTCGATATACTGTTGAGTTAACCTTAAAAGAATTCTTTTCCACTTTTGCTTTTGTATAATTGTTATTGAAATGTTTTAGAGCAAAAATTATCTATTCTTTTTCATTTATTAGTAAACAAATTTCAAATATATGCTGACCATCCTTTGGACTACAGCTTTGCTTTTTTTTCTTTCTTTTTTTCTTTTTTGTAGTATAGGAGTCACTAAAATTTAGTGAAATTCCATATGAAAAGTATTTTTACATAGATATTTAATTAATAACTAGAAATTTAACTCTTCCTCATTGCAACTCCCCTACTCTTTATAATAATTGATTCACAATTATATTTACTTGCTTCTCAAACAATATATTACAACCTGCAAACAAAAGATGTTTTATGTTTACTTCATTAATTCCAATTAGATTTATTAAAACAACACTAAAAGCTCGAATTTCGCCGTGTTAAGTATATTGTTTAACTTTTTATTTTGACTAATGCCTGGTTTATAATATTTTAATTTTATTTTAAACTTTATTTATAGCATTCATATAGAAATCTTAAAATTATTTTTCAACTTAGAAAAGTTTATTTTATTTTAAATATTTTAGGATTAATTGTGTAGTTGCTAAAAGTTGTCGTTGAAAATGATATGTAGAGGGAATGCTGAAACACGTGTCTTCTTCAAATTTGTCACCGTATAAAGTACAGTTCTCAAGGGACACAGTTAGTTTGTCCAGTTTTGGCAGTTCAGGGATTCAAGAATCAAGTAGATCTTCAAGTACTAGCAGCTTACATGACTCACGTCCTTCCAAGGTATTATTTGTGTTTTTATCTTAGCCTTTCATAGTTTATTTATTAGTACATAGCTGCCATTACTACTGGATTTTCCAGTAGACTACTGGATTTTGCTAGTTTCTCCTGGTTTAATAAAAATTCTCCTGATTTTTATACATTTTGAAAATTCCCTTGAATTGAGTAAGTTTTCTAAAAAAGCATCCCTTATTGAAATAGAATTTTTGCTCAAATTATTTCTTGTTTGAATGTTCAATAAATATTATTAATATAGGATGAAGTGAGCCTCGTTTATAGAAATCAGTTTAAAACTTTTTCATTCTTAAATTTTCAGTTTATTTTTATTCTTAATTCCTTTTTTAAATTAATTAAAAAAATTTGTTAACTATCTTTGATGAGTTAAATGCCTATTACTGTTCAAAATTATGAGTAAACATAATGCATAACATTTTAAGTTCATTTATTGCTAATCATAACTGTATAATATTCCAGTTTTCCTATTTTGATAATGCTAAAATTCCCTATGTGTAAAATATTTAGTATTATTATCATGAAGTTTATTTTATTTTACAAAGTCTACTGGATTTCTTCCTATCCATGTTGGCAGCTATGTTAGTATATATTTTTCATACAATTTACAGTTCAAGATGACAAATTTATGAAAAAGTGTATTTTTGTTGTTTGTGGAAGAAAGTTATATTTTTAATCTTTTACAGATAACCATTAAAGTGTACACAAAAGTCTTATGTGCAGATATGGAATACAAAACCCTGTGTATCACTCCACAGACCACTAGCAAAGATGTTGTGAGGATGTTGCTGTCTAAGTTCAAAGTGAAGCATAGAGACCCTAATTTATTTTATCTTACAATGGAAGTTTGGGTTCGGAAAACAGGTATGACATTCATTGGATAGGTTTATTTTTCATTTTTCTGATATCTATAAATACTACATTTCTAAATAAATGCATGCAAATTCCCTAAAAATATTTAGTAGCTTTTGTAGAAATAGTAAGAAAAAAAATCTCAAAAGTACTTTTGAAACATTTTTGTTCATAGTAGGGATTTCGATTCTGTTGCACCACTTTAATAGAATGTTTTGAGTTTCTCTCAAAATATATGCTGCAGTATTGTTTATAAATTATATTTAGTTATAAGGTGGCTTAGTTATATTTTTTAAATTTTATAAGCTTTATTTTTAAAATTTATCATGAAAAAAAAACTTAAAATTGAAGGATGCTGGGACAGGGCTCTCACATTTGTCAGGGAATTTGACTTAGGCTCCAAAAAATCAGGGAAAATAGTTTACAAAATCCTTTCTTATACCTGGAATATAATAATAATAATTTTATTTTTGAACTAACCAGCTTCACTAACAGTAATCAATTACTGAGATTTTAGTTAAATAATCATATCTATTACAATCATCCCTTGTAAAAAAAATCAGCATTTCAGTAAAACTTTTCATGGTATCCTTATGTAGAGATATTTTGTTGCTTACAAAATCTAATGTTAGACATTAGAATTTAAAAAAAAATTATTTTTTCTGTTGAAGAAAATAAAATGTTTGGACTTTTTTTGAAATTTTCTTTAAATACCTGGAAAAGTTAAGGAAATTAATTTTTGAAATTATATGAAAACTTTTCTCTGAGCATTTGAGAGTTTATTGCATATTAATATAAATACATAAATATTGGTTATGGCTTGAGTTTTTGAGAAAACAGTTCAAATATGTTTGTAGCCTTGCTACCTGATGCAAAAATTTATTTGCAAAGATCTAAAAACCTGTAAACATATTGATTCTCAAGCATTGTCTCTGACTTGTTTGAATGTGAAATGGCAAAATGAAAACAGAGTAAAGATATTGACTTAATACTTAAATCCTTGGGAATCAGTCTTTTATTTATACATTATATATTTAAAAACATTAACTTCAAAAACTGAAATGTGTCTTAAAAATTATTTTTATTTAGCCTCTTAATAAATATTATCAGATAGTTTACGAGAAAAAAATTAATATTGTTTCTGTAACAAAATTTTTTAGACCAAAATTGGTTAAATGTACCGGGAAAAATAGTACCAAAATAACTAGTTAATATTTAGTATGTGCATTGTAAATAAAATATTTGAATTTTGTTAGGTATTCCAATCAGATCTGTTGTTAGCTTGGAAGATGATGCTCATCCAGCTGAGCTTCAAGTTTGTCATCCAAGAGGAGAATCTAAGTAAGCTAATTTTGGTTGTTTCTAGAATATAGTCTGAAAGAATGCAGATGTACACCAATAGAGTAGGAAAAAAGGCCAAATACAATGAATAGTTCCTATTATTCATTGAAAAGGGGAAGAAATTTTTTTTTAAATATGGGGATTTTTTTAGACCAAATGTTTCACCTTGTTTCTGCGAGTAAAGGTGGTTTTTTATGTCTCTTTGGGTTCTTGTATTAATAACTTGCCTAACCATAAAAAGGGAACATATTGTCTTAAATTCATACCCAAAAGATTGTTTTCACCTGATAATTGCATGTTACAAACAAATCATAAGTTATTCAAAACATTTTGCATAGCAGCTGCATAATGTCATAACTTTCATTTTGTTAGTTTTTATTAAATGACACTGAATACTGTCAGTAGTAAGATTGTGTGATATATATATATTAATTATTCATGTATATTATTCACATTTATATTTACAGATTTTCCTTAAAAATGAGAAGAGGTGGCTTAGTGAAAGTGTTTGGAGGCAGTTGTTTGATGGCCGGGGTGAGGAATCTGTTAAATTATATATTTTTTCAATTTTGTTTTGTTTTTCTTTTGTTTGGTATTGTTACAATCATTTTTATTTTAATGTAATTTAATTTATATATTTATTTCTTTGATTTGCAATGTTTTGATCCTTTTTTCCATGTTGCACTTTTATAAGTAAACTTAGTTACTTTTATTTTCTTGTTTAATAAATTTTAGCTAGTCTCTCTCTGCTCTGGTGTAAAAACCAAATTGTATACCAGTCTGAAAGAGTTAATTGTTAAAATGTTCAAAACTTAAGAGAAAACATAATGTAGCCCCTTTTTGGGTCATAATTAGCCATATTATTTTATATCTACTATCATCAGTTTTTAATATATTGCAACCTAAATTGAAATCAATTTCTGTGGAGGAGAATAAAATTTGCTAATAATTTTATTCTCCATTGAAACAATAACTTGTTTGAAAATTTAAAATTTAAGGTATTCCTTGTAATTAATTTAATTTAACCTCTCAATTGGTATTATCTTTTAGTTAAATGAATGTATATATTTGAGTATTTATTCTGGTCCTTTTTAATATTGTATTTTTACTTTTACAGTCATTATATAAAAGTCTTCTGGTATCTGATAAAACAACCACTAGTGATTTAATTCAACTAGTTTTAAACTGCTACAATTCACGGGAAGCAATTGAAAACTTTTCAATTTATGAAATTTCTTGCAATAAAGACTGTAAGTAAAGTTTTTTTGTTTTTTACTAAAATATATACACTACAAAAACTAAAAGTATATTTTTTATTCGAACTTAGTACATAGGTTTTTTTTTAAAAATTTCCGAGCTTGAATTATGTCCATAATGGAAATTTTGCTGCATGCATATAATGTAACCTTCAGAAATATTATCCTTCTGAATTGATGCAACAAGAACAGATTTTTTAAACTTAAATTGCTGAACCTATTTTAAGAGTTTTGTTTAAGGAATTTTGCTCCCCTTTTTAAAAAACTTTTCTCTAATTCCTTTAATGCAAAAGTATAATAGTTTTCTTGATGATTATTATATTGTTTAAAACTTTAATTTGGCTACACATATTATTATATTTTTTTAACAACACCTCTCTGCACCAGTGAAACCTCATGTTTTGATGATTTCTGTAAATAGCATCATTTTTTACTGTTTTATTTCCAAATTTTTTTTAAAATTTTCTATTATATAGACTGTTTCATAAGAAAAATAATTTGAAAAGAATATTATTCGGAAATGCTAACTGGTGTATAAAAACATTTGACATGTTTATTACAAAAGCTATGAAAATTTATTGCTAAAGTTTTAAATTTATTTACAAATGGTGCTGATGGATTGAATCATTCTCTAATATGTTTATTTTAACACTATATATATGTATATGTGAATGAATAAATATGGTGCTGGCTAATTGGAATATCCTGTTCTTTGCAAACTGCCAATGGTATTTACTAAGCTTATTGCATGGAGCATAGTAGTTTCATTGTGATTTCTGCAACTTGTCTAGAGTTGGATAGTTTGATTAGCCTATAATATATATATATTGTACATTATATTGCACTTTTACTGAGTTGCGATATCATTCATAATTACAGTAATATAATATTATAATTTTGAATTAAATTGCACTCCTTTATTAATGTCTGGAGCATGAATTAGATTTTGTTCTATCTACTCAGGTTAATTTTGAAGGTTATTAAGTACAAAATAAATAAATAATTTAACTTCCATCTAGTAAAGGTGCATATTCTACTAATTAATCTTTCTAAACTGTTTTAGTCAAGATTTCACAATGTAAGTGGATTTTCATTTTGCTTTCTCGTAAAATGTGGCTTTTTTAAGATTCCATATCATTCTTTCTGGGATGCAATGTACAATGTGGTATTTTTTGTTGTAGATGAAAGACAACTATTAAGTAATGAATATCCTCTTCAAATTCAACAACTATGGCCTACTAAAGAACAGTTTGCATTTCAACTACGGCGAAATGTGGAAGGATTTCAAAAGCAAATCAATTTAAAGGTAATTCTTTACTAATTTTATACATTTTTAGCATTATTATATTGCTATTTTATATCCAAAAAACAGTTATGGTGTGTAAAGTTCTACCAAAATATAAAAATTTACTGATACTAATGTTTTCAAGAATTACTGCTGCATATACACCTCATTTTAATTATTCATTTTCAATTACTTATCATTAATTTGTTTTGTAATTGGGTGAAGGAAAATAATCCATAACTTTTATTGTTCAGAGCAACCATTAGTAAGAAAAAAAGCTTGATTGAAACATAAAATCAGTAGTTTTTAATGTCTTACTTTATCCATTTTTAAAAAAATCCCATCATAATGGTTTTTATTAGTAATATGCTTAAAGATGCTTCAAAAGTTGGGTATTGTTTTAAAATGTTTTTCTTTGGAGATAAAAAGATGAAATAGAATTTTACATGAAGCATAATAAGTAAAGAAATAAGCAAAAATAAATTATTTATATGGAGGATAAGCATACCAAAGGAAATTGTCGCTGTTAAAATATTTTCATTCCAAAAAAAGAAATTATTGGCCTTGTAATTTACATTTTATTTTGTATCTCCTTAAAAGTTTCCTAAATAATAGTCATTTCTACACAATCATTGTTAATTTGTAGTGGATGTAAAACAATAATAGAAATACTGAATATTAAGTAGATTGGATTGAATGCTGGGCTCAATGACAAGATTAAAAAACTATAAGACAAATATGACGTCAGAACAAATTATAGATATACCTAACATACAGTAAAAACAACTGCTCTGCACCACTGTGAAATTTCATTCAAGAATTAAAAAAGATAATTATTAAATAAGGGTTACAAATTTAGAAGTGAGATTATTCAATATATGCATATATACAGGTTCAGCCCAAGTGTTCAAAAGTTTAAGATATTAAAGCCAAAATTGAATAACTTTAAAAAGTTATCTTATTAATGCTATGAATAGATATCCATGAATGAAAAGGAAAGAGAAATAGAAAATGTCCTCAAACAACATAAATCTAAAAATTCACTGTCAAAAATAAGAAATTTCTGAGCTTTTTTGCAGGTAGAACCAGATCTTCTAAATGGTCAAGCAGTATAAAAATAAAAAGCATACTGTGGTTAGAAAAATTAAGAGCAGACACATAGTTTCTTGAACTCTTTGTCTTGGAAAAGCTAAAACTGTCTTTCATGAAGTGTATGAACAGTGATAAAATGAAACATTAATAAATATACTATAAAGATCTGATAAAAATGTCTTCCAAACAAAACAATGATGTTTAGGGATGAGAACTGCTCAGTAGGCAAAGTAAACTAGGTTTATTTGACTATCCTAATTAGAGGAAATGTATCTGGGCAAAAGAAGAAAAAAAGACTGCTTGCTTGTTATTAAAATTTTAACAATCCATAATGTTTCAAGATTGTAAAAATGCATTTTTTGGATTACATGAATATTAAAAAAACGTATATAGGACATTTTATTTAATGTGTATTGTTTAAAATATCTGGCAATTTTTATTATTTTATAATCAAAAACATTGAAATTAATAGTGATTTTATAGGTTGAAGTTTTCTTTGATCCTATTCGTTTGCGTGTTACTTGTTTAATTAAATTGGTTGTGTAAATAATTTTTATTTTATAATGATCTTTTATTTTAACATTTTGCAGGTGCCTTGGTTTAAAAGCCATGAGAAATCTAATCGGACAAATGTACAGTGGATTTATGAAAAAAATAATTTGAGATTGCAAGCACTTTCAGAAAATGAAGATGCTTTTAATACTTATGAAAACTGTTTTTATATATGAAGTTTACTAGTCTGTTTGAGATGTATTTTATATTGTTAAAATATTCTTCATTTACATAATTTATATTCTTGTCATTGTATTGTTTTACACCATAAAGTATTGTAAATTTTTTGTGCAAATAATTTTACATATTTTTTTTGTAAATTTTTATGTAGATTGATATCTATGTATTGCACCAGTCACTTCTTTTTTATTATTTGAGTCATTCTTTAGAAATGAACAAATGTCTACTTGATATCATTCTACTAATGATTCTTCGATTTGTTAGTATTTTACTCAACCTTATAAGGATGTTTTAATGTCTAGGATATGAATTTATTTTTTTTTAAAAAAATTATCTTCTAAAAAAAGTATATGGACAGCTACAATGCCTCCCATCAAGTATAATTTTATGTTATTACAGGAATGTTAAAGACATTGACTGTCCTGCAATTTATATGAGTTTGTTTTTCCTTAGCTATCAAATTATGATAAGTCTAAAACAATTAGCTATTTTTTTTAAACAAGCCATTTATCTTTTTTATTTTGCAATTTTCTAACTTTTTAAGTGTATACTTGTTAAAACAATAGTTCTTATAGAGCTTAACTTCTTCCCTATAGTTGTTGTTGAACTTTTATGTACCTGATCATGATTTATTTATTATTGCTGTTTCCAGTCATGTAAATTTACTGTCAACTATAAAATGTACATAATTTCATTTATGTTTAGAAAATCACTTATAAAGGTATGTCACCATGACTGTACAATTTACTCATTACTGTAATAACACAGTATGATGCATTCAAAATTAAGTTAACTAAATCTTTTTAATGTTGGAAAAATAAATAATGGTGATTAAGTTCGCTTTTTTAATTTAAGTTCATTACCATTTTATTTAAGCTTGTTACAATAAAAATTTGCAATATATTAGAGATTATGCAGCATTTCCAATTAATTTAAATTGGGAAATAGAAGTAAACAACTTAATGTTGGATTTTCTGGTAATTGTAGAAGCTAATTTTTCTGTTCTAATAAGTGCCTTACCTCCAGTGCAATTTTTAATTAAGAAATACTCATTGTTATATGAATTCTTCATTAATAACTTTATCCTTTAATGTGCCTTAAGATATTGTGCCTATTTTTCTACTTCATTTCTACATTTCTCTACTTCATTGTCCCTATTATTCTACTTTAATGCTGTCTTTGTGGGGGAATACATTTAGGATGAAAATAAAATATCTCAGAAAGTTGTGATCCAATTTTAATGTGGCTTATTTTATATGATAAAGCTTATTAATATCTTGTATGGTGTAATTGCTCTGTGAAATTTGATATTTTATTGGACTTTTTGCAGTTACATAAAAATATTTTTAAAATAAAACAACTATTACAATACTTTTGGTTGATAATATTTAATAACAAAGTCACATCAAAATGATATAAAAATTTTCTGAGACATTTGCAATAGAAATATATAATTTCCCCTAGGATAACTACTACTCACTAACGGTGAAAAACAAGATGAAATCTATTGAATCTCTCATTATTTGTAACTTATTTACTGACTATAAACTTAACAGGCAGTTAGTTATATTCATTGTCATATTTTTAGTCCATCTTAGTTTTATAGGGTATTAGCATAAGTCATTAATTTTTTATTTTGTTTCATTTAGACTGTTTTTACGAACTTTTCCATTCATCAATTGTTTTTACTCATTTTCAGATAACTGTTTGCTCTTTTTATTTGTATGTTTTCAGAGCATTAATGTATAATAAATAATAAAGTAAAAATGTTGTATAGTATCGACCATTTTTAGAAGAAGTATTTTAAGACTGTTCATTCTACTTTTTGTAATTGTAAAACATGTGAAAGCGTTCGCAAACTATTTGATAATTTGTGAAAAATTATTATTTATGTGATTTTTAAACAAAGATTTATAAAGGTTTTGTGTGATTGTTAACCAGTTTTTATCATAAATGTTTCATTACTTAGAGCTAAATGTGATATTAAGCCAAAGTGAACATATATATACAGATCTCAAATTATCATTTATATTGCACTATGTTCTATCATGTCATTGAATTTTTATATACAAACACCTACTTTAAGGTGATGGTTTCATATTGCATTATTTTGTTTATCCATTTGCACAATTGAATGTACTCATGTGTAAGCCTTTATATAATTAGATAAAATATTGCTTTAAAATGAATACATTTGACTAGACAAAAATATTAAAACCTTTGAGCTTAAATCAATTTTCAAATAATATATATATTTTTTGTGTATTTGTATGAAAATTTTATAAAATCATTGTTTAGCAAAATTTGCCGTCTCAAAATTTCACTTTCTGTTGTTTAATTTTAATCCCAACTATAACTAAAATGTAAGCTCAATTTTTTTTCTATATTTTGTATTTACTCATGATTTAATGCTCTAAATTATAAAATCACATTTAAATTGAGCTTTTTTTTTTCTTTTTTTTTTTAAGTTGTTATAAAATGAGTAAAGTCTGTTAAGAATCTGAAAACATCTAGTTATTTTATATGCCTTGTGATGAACTTAAAAAGCTACTTAGATTAAAAAATTTTATTTGTTTCAAATACACCTTATTTTAGTTATTTGTTTCAAAAACTTAATAAGCATCAAGCATCTGATTTTCAGGAAACTAAACTAATAATAAATTTGGATAGTATCTCTTGCTATTATCTCTTAATGATTTGCTTATTACTTACTGGCTATACTGGCAGATACTTGGTATTTCTTGGTAAAAATCTATGTCTGTTGGTTTTATACATAAAAATACATGTTTTACATAATTTCCTTTTTACTCAATTCCGAAAAAAAATTGTTAGTTACCTTGTTTCTTTTTCAAAAACCTTTGATGAAACCAATCATTTTGAACAACCACCACAGTATCTTTAAAAGATGGTAAAAAGGTTTGTAGAAAATTGCCTCAATCACATTTTAAATGTTTGTCAATACAGCAATTTGTTTCTGCAATATTTGTCAATAAAGGGACAAAATGAAAATAATCTTGTCTCAATATTTTGAACTCTTATGATGATGCATTGTATATTATATATCTGAAATAATAAAACTTTTGCTATAAAACACTAGTTCCAATCTAAATTTATTTTTATCAATATGAATTGTTTTGTTATTTTTTTAATTCTGTGGAAAACGTATATGAAATATTAGATATAAAAGTATTTTATTTTTATGTATAGTTTCATACCAAAATCTACATATGTATATCTTTGTAGAATGTTATAGCAAATAGAAATGAATGTTATTTTTTTTAAAAATAATTAAGTCTTGTAATCCAAAGTCTATTGACTAGCTTGTAAATTATTAGTGTAAATAATGTATCTGCAAAACACAGTTTTTCTATCTACAAATCTATTAGTGATATGTATCTACAAATCTATTAGTGATATAGGCAGTAGTAAATTATAGATAGGTGATAATATTATAACTCAAGTTTCATGACCTACCTTTTTTAGAATATGGAATAGCCCTATCTCCCATTGCTCGATTAGCCTAAGAAATATACTTTTCTACTATCAAACTTGATTGAATTGCAGGAATCCTCTTGAAATGTTGAGAGTTAACCATATTTTGTTTTCTATTTCATATCCGTAAAAGGTGACATTTTTGGAGGACAGTAAGTTCTGGTGTCAATTTATTTGCAGTGATTTATCTCAAGATTTTAATAGAGTTATGAAGTAAAAGAACAAAAATTGCAGTGAGATTATTTGCTACTTTGGCTTCAAAGTATCATTGGGAAAAATGTAGTTAGCTGTAATTTTAATTATTTTTGAACAATTTGGGAAGAATAATAGACTAATGTGCATCATGAAATAGAAAAAAATTAATACCTGTTATTGATTATAATGCAAGTTATCCAATAAAATTTGCATTCGACTATTTAAATTAATTAAAGCTGATGTTATTCTAAAAGTAAAACATTCTCACATATTAAGATTGAAATAAGGTTTTTATTTCAACGTAATTTTTATGTTCTGGTGCATTTCTTTCAGTAAAATGTTTGGGGAAAAAATGTCATATTTATTATTTCAGAATAAACGTGCCCAACTCAGTCACATGATTCATATTCGATATACTTCCTTAGATTTAAATATTTTTTGAAAATCAAAGAAACATTCAGGATTTGAAACAGATACAATAATGGAGTTAAACATTTACCAAGTTAACTTAAATATTATAAGTTAACTTGGTTAACAGTGTGAGCAATGTTATGCTTGAAAAACTTTTTGTCTTGCATCTACAAGGAATCAAATTGTAAAAGAATGAATTTTTCCATCTGCAATATTCACAAAATACCTCTCTAAGTTCAAAGTAAACTCTATTGAAGAGTAGCAGTCTTCTCGTTTTTGTTTCATGCATAAAATATGCAGTTGCAGATAATAAAATTAAAGCAGTATTCAGGGGCATCCGTTCACCTCTGTAATCATTGTTTTCGAAACATACGATATTGAAGCAGATAGTAACTGGTATGGAAAATTATAGCTATATTTAATGTTCACTGTCTCATTTATTAGTTAGTTACAAGCAACGACATCACAGTTTTTTTCAACATAGTATTTTCAGTATTTTGAAAAGTAAACTGGATGGATTAAACAGGCTTTTCAACAGCAACAGATGCAGTGCTCCAAAGAGAATCATTGCCACTGTAGTTAATGATGAATATGAATTAACTTTAGTTAAATTCTTTTCTTGGATATTTATGTCTCGGGCTTCAACTGCTCTTAAAGTATCTTGATAGTGTTTGATGTTTTCAAAGTTAGTTCGAACTTTTTGTGCCGTCCTCTGTAATATTTAATTATTAAATTGGTAAATCTGTCAAATTTAAAAATTATTTATTTTAAATCTTTAATAACTCAGTATTTTATTTATTAATCTACTTACCTTCAAACGACTGATTGTATCATTGCTTTTTGTGTCTTCCTCGAGCATTTCGTTAATCGTATCCCAGTTAGTTTCTGTGTCAATCGATATTTCAAAATATACAGTTTTTTCATATGACTGACTAAAGCCATTATCCAAGCAGACTTTATAATCCCCTGGACTTGTCACCTTATATCTATGCGAATTAAAATAAAACATAGTAAATATTGGTTTTATTGTTACTTATATCAAAATTAAAACCTTATTTTTAATCCAAAATTAGCAAAAGTTTTTTTTTTCTAGAGTATCAAATTTCTGGCAACTTGGCTCCCAAACCACAAATTCGACTTCAATCGTGAAATTTCCCGTAAAAGTACAAAAATTAGAAGGCACCGACATTTTTTTTCTCCACTACTTAAAATAAAAACCAAGGCTAACTGTTGTCATTTATTTAAATTTATTTCTAAGTAATGTATTATTTTAATTTATTTCTTATTATATATCAATCCATTTATTTTTTTCCCTTTAAATATTCAAAATTCCCAATTTTTTTTTCGTAAAAATATATACATATTTTTTTTTTAACTTCTTAAAATTTTTCAAATATTATTTTTAAATCGGGAAAAAGTTATTAACCATTGTTTGAAATAAATGTAAGCATTTGGCGCGATGATGGTCCAGTAGTTTTCAGGTAATCCAAACAAACACTCCTTGTTAATATCGGATCCTATTCAAAAATGACACATAGTATTCACTGTTATTGACACCAATACATCACTGTTTTATTTCCTTTAAAAAATATTGGCCTTGAAGAATGTTTTATGTTTTCCTGTTTAAAATATTACTTTATCCATCATAGCTAAAAATAAAATTAAATTTTCGTACTCATGTACAGAAACTTCATATTTTATTTTCGCAATCCTAAAACAAAAATAATTACATTATATTTTAATTTAAAAATATCACTATTGGTGTAGAAAATGATTCGCTTTTAAATATGTAACACTTGACAAAATATTTCTTCTTATCAACTGTGGTTTCGACTGTTGAAAGTGGATATATATTTTTGGTTCTGTGTTATTTTAAAAGTAAAAAGGTGTTTTTAATAATAATGATAATCAAAACTTATATTTTGAAAAGAAATCTTATATTTATAAACATATTTTTTTTATTGGAAGTGTATAATTTAAAGAAGAAATTACCCTTCATTTTATGCAATTAATGAGTAATTTCATAGGTGAATAATTACTCACAAAACAAATCTTATAAAAAAGAGTCAAGTGCTCTTGTCACAAATGCTGGTAATTTATACATATATCCACTATATGCATCAAAATTGTATTAATGACAGTTACATAAAATAAGGCTTTCAGACCTTAAATAATACTAAAACCACCTGTTCCATAAAAGTGGCTACGATTGATATTTAAACCTATTTCTAATAATCCTCTTTTTCTAATGATTATTCTCCTAGATTACGACCAATTAAGTTATTCCCCTTTGGGATTTCCTGACATAAAAGATGTTATGCAGTTATTGCCTTTAATTATTACTTTACAATTTCTTGTAGAAATTGAAGTAAAAAAACTATGGACTTTATAGATCACAAATGAAAATGTGAGTGAGAAAGGATAATAAGGTTTCAAACTCTTTCCAATCACTATTGAGGAAAATAAGCAAAAATGTAATTAAAAATGATCTAAAACCAGTTTATTTAAGATAAGGATGAAGCTTATAGGTGACTAGTAAAGCTCATTCTAGTATCACTGAATAAATTAAAAAAAATTTTAACGCTTTTAATCTTCCCGATATCAACAACAAATTTGTCAGAGTCACTTAAACATGAATTCTGAGGAAACTTAATAGATATAAATGTTTTTATCCCATTAATGTTTCTGTGCCACGGATCGAGGTTCGATCCTCGGACCAGGTTGATTCAGCCTTTCATTCCTTTAGTGGGCCGATAAAATGAACGTCAACCATGCTTGGAACTGAACAGTATTCAGTTCCAAGCATGTCCTGTTTTCGAATTACCACCCAACAGGAACATCTGCTCCTGCACCCCAAAGCCTAAGATATATATATATATACCCCTCTTTTTAATACATTTACACCCCGAGTATTCACACTCCTCTGATTTAAAGGCTAATATAAAAATTTAGTAAACTTAAGTTTCTTTTAACTTTTTTTCTGCCTCATGTCTTGAGAAAAATGAGAATCTGTACAAATAAATGCTTAAAAAATAATGTCTCAAGTTGTTTTCTAATACATGCTTTACATTATAGAAATTCAATTTTTAATGATACTGAAAGAAAATCTTACTTTAGTATTGCCATATCTTTTTTATTCTCTTGTAAAACAGTTTTCTTTTGGGGAGAAATTACGTAAAAAGTAATTTTTAAATCACTATTCACATCAAATTTACTGTAACCAGCATCAACAACCTTAATGAATAGAAAATATATGAGTTAGAATTTTTAAAATAATACAAGTCACAGTTGTAGTTCCACAAAATAAATATTGAATTACTCATAATAAATATTAATCTTATGATAATTGGATAGCTAATCGTGCAAATATTCTAAAATTTGTTGGCTTTTAGCAAATTTTCTTAGTTCTCAATATGAATGTATGATTTGTCGGGAATGTTACTTTTTTTTTTAATAAAAGAATTTAAGATCGAAGAAATAAAATTAATAATATTCGAATTAAGGTTCTGTAATCCAAACCCACGACAATTCTAAATACATATTAACGCAAATCAATCGAAATTATAATAAAAGTCTTTAAATGAGTTTATTTACTCTACTTCTTTTTATACCTTGAAACACTTCAAATATTACAACAAATAATGCTATTTTTTGATCGAGTCTATAGATATGACAACAGTTACCAAATTTAAAAAAAAGAAAAGCTTTTCCCAAACCTGATTAAAAATGAAAGAGAGGCAGACCACGTACTAGGTGGTTAGATGGGCTTGGAAAGTGGGGTAAACAGATGGATAGTATTGTGAAATGAGCTGCTTAGGAAAGCCTGGGCTAGCAATGAGATATAGTGCTGGTAGATAAAGAATGATTGCTATTTAGTTTTAAATTCTTAATTAAAATGTTGAATTATATAATGCTTTTATGATCCGAATTACCGGATCACGTATAGTTCCATAACGTCGTATTCCAAATCCACAACATCTACATAATTCCATGAACACAAGTAATCATGACGATGAGCAGAAATCTCCATAATAACCTTCAAATGAGTTGCATATTTTCTAATATTTCTTTTTATTCTTTGAAGCATTTCACACTTTCAGAAATAAAATTCTCACTTTTGACGCTTAGCAATCTTTGAGTTGTATTTCGTTAATTTTGAGAATCCTTTTGTCACGAAATCACGTGATTTGTGACGAAACGCGAACTCTCAAATATAGGATAAGCATGTTTCAAACAAGAATGAAGACTGGACGAATAAGCCGACCACCTATATAGTAGTCAAGGAGTTGGCCTCGTACCAGGAAGGTCCAAGATTCGAACCCGCTTCGGGCATAGATGTAATTACTCTCTCTGTTTTATCTGTCCTTTGTGTGTTGTTAGGGCAGCATTGATTCACCTATATGGTGCTCATGATGAAGTGATTATTAGAAAAGTTAGATGCATTAGGCACTACAAGTTTCTTTCTTTTATTTATTTGTTTATTATTTTTATTATTTTATTTATTTACTTAAAAAAAATAGAGTGACGAAATATTTCTTTACTATTAACGAAATTCGTTTCCTCGAAGAAAAGACGATAGTTATTTCATCAGTTTGATGAAATGTTCGCTCGGACCTTATACCAGGAAACGGTTTCGTCAAAAACGAAGACAGTTTCATGCCATTTGAGTATCCATTTTTTACAGTGTAGTTATTGCAACAAATGATGCTTTCGTTTTATTGTTGTATTCTTATTTAAAATATTAAATGATAAAAGGAATTTCGATCGAAATAATTTGTTTACTTTGCCATAAAACTACTGTAAATACCAATAAATGAATGAAACGTCAAAATGGAGAAAAAAAAATTCTTACCCTGAATTCAAATCTTAACGTCTGAGGAGGCTTTGCAAATTGATAAAAGCATTCTCTTGACTTTGCTTTCAAAACTGTAGAGAATTCGATATCAGCAGCATCAAAATTAAACTTATAAGCTGCTAATTTATCATTTAAAATAAATATCAAAATTAAAATACAGTGAGATCGGTACATATTTCTTCCAAAGCAAAACAGCATTTAAGCGAAACGTCATCGAACGAGGAAAAACGACTTTTCCATGGAAACGCATTCTAAAACTTTCAGTTTATATGCGCATAAAAACAAAATCCAATAAATAACTTTTTTGTAGAAATTGATTGCAGGTTCTCGTCAAAAATCATTTCTCTCATTTTTCGGTGAAAAGCAGCGAATATTTAAAGATTCTTAGAATGATTACCGTCGTTTCAGCATTTAAACTTTGAACTTCTTAGTTGAAAAAAAGCATGTTGACTTACACCTGACAGAGATTGATGGAAATTTATACCCAGATGCTATTAAAACATTTTAATTTTCATTTCTAATTTTAATTTTTATTTTAATTTTTTATTTTTATTTTTTTTAGAATTTTAAAATCAAATAAAAAACAATAAATGCAGTTTTTATTTGTAGAAGAGAGAGGGGGAGGGGGGACTAGTGTGGACATGGGTTGAAAGTGGACATCTTGAATAACTTTTTTATTTATTGATTAAATTTCATCGTAAATTAGCAACTCTGGTGTTTCACTCTTCCATGTACAATTGCATAATTACACTTCGAATACTTTTGTAAAAGAAGTTTTTTAAGGTGCGAAAGTAATTATCAAATTTTATTGTTATTTTTTTACTAATAAACCTTATTTTCAGAATTTCAACTTAAGGTAATAATATGTTATAAATGATACAGTTTTTCACCTATTTTGATATTGACTTTTGCTCTGTATACTTTCAACAAATCAGCATTAAGCAAAAACAATCAGATGTCTTCGTGGGGATAATGCAAACATGCTTTAAGTGGATTTTTTCATTATAGTAACTTCAGATTTTTCTTCCTTTTTAAATCGCAATATCAGATCGATATAAAAAAAATTAAAACTCCTTGACAACAGTAACATTGACATTCTGTAATAGTTAATATCTAGAGACAGAATTTTTATTAAACATTTTTATCATACTTTTTTCACACTATTTTGTATTAACTTAGATCAAAATAAGTGAAAAATATTATATTTAGCATTTTAATAATTTATGGTTTTGAATACAGTATGAAACACCAGTGTCTTTTTCGCGTTAAAAGGCAAAAATCTTACGAATACGGCTCACTTCCAAACAATAATTTTTTCAATTCGCACTAATTTGCAAGTATTTAGATCGAAAAAAAATTTACAAAATTAATTGTTGATAAATTTTTGAACATGAATTAAAAATGTTTTTTCAAGCTACATTTCTGGATTTTATATCTTAGTACGAATATAATTCAGATAATCTAACAGATTTATTAGTATATATTAGACTGTTTTTTATTATTAAAAAATGTCAAAATATATTTTTACTTGTAATTAAAGCGTCAGAAAAAAGATATATAAGAAAAAAACCGGTGTCCCATAAAAAAATTTTGTGCATTATACTGGTAGCGTGGATATTGTTTATAGATTTGGAGATTATAGTGTTCAATTCTTAAGAAAAGATGTACATAGTTTTTTTTTTAATATGGAATCTTTTTTTTTTCTTCATCCATCGTACTTCAGAATAAAGGCATAATCTAGAAAAGTTTTCATTATTTTCTGAACTCAACTGTGAAATTTTTCACAAATCTCCAAATTTTGTTTATCCTTCTTAGCCTTAAAATATTGCAGAAAATGCGTTTTTTACTTTAAAAGATGTAGCTTAAAAGAGAGTAAACTCATAAAAGCGATAAAATAATTTTAAAAAATTCTATTAATTAAAATTAATTATTATTTTTTAGTTCTTTTTAATTATTGCATATAAATAATACATTTTAATATTTAACATTTTTTACATATTATAAGATACTTTAATTGAGTATTTCTTCACGTTTTACTCTTGAAGCTAAATCCACAAGAGACACATATGATATTATATTTATATACCACGAAACTTTCCAAAAGATTACTGTTTAACACGTTCATGCCGGGAAAAGTGAAAATACTGGTAGAAGAACTATTTCAACATTAGATAATATTCGGGAGGAGTTAATCTATTCTCAACAATAACAATTCACTGTAAGGAAATTTATCACGGCAAAGAAGCAATTCAATATAGAAATTGCATGCGTTAAAAACAATTGGTAGTTATGGATTTTTATTATTCCCGGAAAAAAACTAAAAAATGAAATTTATTGTTACCAGTTTTTACTGTGGTGCGCTGTCAAGATGAGACAATCTAGCGTGACCCATCGGTGGGTCACCCCGGCGTGAACGTATTAAAGATACTCAAATTGTAATTTTTTTCGTTTTATTTTTTAAATTTTATTTTTATTTTTCTATGCAATAGAGCTTCAAAAAACATTTTTAAAATCACTGAATTATTCTCGAACTTCTCAAATAATAAAAAATTAGATCACAATTCACAAACGTTTCTTTTTTCTTTATTTTTTCGAAAACTGTGGCTATGTCTGATTTATAGTGAGAGCTAAATCATTTTCAAAATTAGCTTAGGGAGGTTCTGGATTAAGATGGACAAAATTTAACCTAAAAGACATGAATAATTATTATAAAAATCGTAAAAACGTTATTCTTAAGAGACTTGGAAGAAAAGTCTTTCTATTGAGAGGTATTTGTAAAATATCCACCGAGAACAATTCCTTTGTATGTGAGAATAAAATCCTCTTACTCATATGAAGAGACAATTTCCCATTCCTAATGGAGTTTTATGACTCTTATTTCCACTTTTTTCCCAGCCAATCACAAAAGGATTACCTGTGTTTTCACCATTTTTTGGTTCGTTTAATTTTTGTACCGAAAGACAAATACAATACAATTTTGCGATCTCAATTTACCAAAATTCGTGTTTTAACGAATTTTCATTTTCAACCCAATTAAAATGAAGACAAAAGCCATAAAACTGAATTCAGATAAAAAAAAAACACAAATTGAACAAATTCTAATTCAGATATTTTGACGTTTTATAAACATTCCTGAAGATAAAAATAAGAAAAATTATTATGTTTATTTATTAATGTCACACCTATCTAGACGTGAAAATAAACACTGACCTCGTGACGAGTCAACAAAAAAGTGGCGACTTAAATCAAATTAACTACCGATCACTTTTTTCCATCACTTTTTTTAAAAATCAGTTTATGATAAAAGTACATCAATGAAGTCGTAGTTGCCCAGGAGATAGAGTGTTCGGCTTCCAATAATGTGAAGGTTCAAATCCCAGCGATGGCTGGTAGATACGAATTCCGCCTCCGGCTAGCACCGACCACAGTTCAGACGTAAAATATCCTGAGGTGGTATGCGGATCATAGATTAGAGTCTCCTTGCCGTCTGGCTTACTGTGGGAGGTTTCCGTGGTTTTCCTCTCCATGTAATGCAAGTGAGGGTAAGTTCCATCAAAAAGTCCTCCACGACGGCAAAATTCTCCCGATACTTGATCCAGGAGTTCCCTTGTATTCTGAATTGGGTTCAAGATTTCAAGGCTACGGAGTTGAAAATTAGTAGTTGTAAACCCAAAATTGGGTCAGCTGTTCAGCAATTGTTATAAAATAAAGTAAAATAAAAAGGACATCAATGTAGAAAAATACTCTGGAAAACAGAATTTTCATTAAAATATCTAAATATCCGTTCAAAATTTTGATCTTTCGGAATCCATCAATTTTAGGTGGAAAGATTCATACGTTAAGAGTGTTTTTTTCTTTTTTTTTCTTTTTAACAATTCACATATTGCAGTTGCAATGTATACAAAAATGCATTTTGCCACCCCAAATATTTTTACACAAAGTTCTTTGAAAGTCAGTATGTTTAACTAAATTTTGTCATATATTTATAATATTTGTATTGTTGAGTTAACTTTTTATAGCCGTAGATTACCTATAATCTGAATTATTTTTTCAAAAATAAAATTTAGTCCACGTGCAGAAAAATTTTACAAAGTGGCTATTAACTTACTATCGATATTGGTCACCGACTCATTAGCTTTGAGGAAAAAGTGGCTGCTAAATTATTAGAGTCTACCGGCCACTGGCTACTAACTGAAAATTTAAATTTTCAGATCTACACCCATCCTCCAATTTTCAATTTAAAAAAAAAATCAAACTATAGTTGTTTTTCTGCAAATTGCACAAGTGTGCAGTGTGCTTTATTAATTAGACCTTGGTAATATTCGTTCGGTAAAAATTAAAAACAGAAAGTTTTTTAAGAGAAAAATTATAGCATTGTTAGACGAAGATGCGGAGTAAATAATACAAAGCCAGCTTTTTGGATGTTCTTTATATTGTGAGGGAGTCTTAAGACTAAGTTTCTGAAAGTACTTTTGAAATATGTAACGTGTAGTTAACGCACACAAGTAAACTGAACTAGAGCCTTCAAAGTTCACTGGATTTTTAGCTGCTAACTCAGAAGTAGGCAACTTACAGTTTTGGAAATTTTTTTGTAGGTGCTTATTACTGTTTTTCTGTAAGGTAAATGCAGGTTTTTTTTATTTTTGTATTTTAGACTCCAGTAGTACGCATAACCCAAATTTAACGAATACAGGATCCCAATGCATATCTGAAATAGGTGCTATGCTGTATATCAAGATTTTTAACGATGGTTATAAAATAATCACGTCATTATCAAAGAATTGAACTCAAAAGTATTTTGTGAGTAAGTAGTCCTAGTATCTTTATTTTGTGAGGGAATTTTGAGACCAAGTTTCAGAAAGTACTATTGAAAAATGAATAGGGTATTTAACGCGCAGAAGTAAAATGAACTAGTGCCTTCAAAATTCACTGTATTTTTAGCTCCTGATTCAGAAGTGGGCAATTTACAGTTTTCGAAATTTTTGTGTAGTTGAATATTACGGTTGTTCCGTAAGATACAAGCAGAATTTTTTATTTTTGTTTTAGACTCCAATAGTACGCATAACCCAAATTTAACGAGTAAAATGTTCGGTCGAAATGCTTATCTGAAATTGGGGTTATGCTGTATAGCAAGATTTTTAACTATGGCTATAAAATAATCATGGCATTATCAAAGAATTCAACTAAAAAATAATTTGTTCACAATATATTGAAGAAAAGTGTTACATTTGTTTGATTATAAATAA